TGTCTTTTGGTAACTGCGCTAAGATTTCACCACTGCAATCCCACCTAGGAAACAGAGCAAGACCTTGTCTCAATGAAAAAAAAAAAAAAAAAAAAAAGAATCGGAAGGTGGAATTACCATCAAGAGAGAAGATTCTAAGAATAGAACAACTTTATTAGGGGCTAGGCATGGTGGCTTACATCTGTAATCCAAGCACTTTTAGAGGCTGAGGCAGGAGGATCACTTGAGTCCAGAAATTCAAGACCAGCCCAGGCAACATAGTGAAATACAATCTCTACCAAAAAAAGAAAAATTTTAATTATCAGGGTGTGGTGGTTCAGGCCTGTATCCCCAGCCACTCAGGAGGCTGAAGCAACAGGATTGCTTGAGCCTAGGAGTTCTAGGCTGAAGTGAGCTATGATGGTACCACGACATTCTAGTCTGAGCTACATAGTGAGATCTTGGTTTGAAAATTAAAAAAAAAAAAAAGGTTTATTACAGCTATGGACAGAGAGAAAACAAATAACAGCTTTCAGTGGTCCATGTGGGAGGTATCTAGATTATAACGATCTTCTAGTCTTCTGCCCAAGATGGCCTACTGGCCTCCAGGCAAAGCTGAAATGACTAGATAAAGATGAAAGTTTTGATTTAATTATTTAATTATTGATGATACAGTGCCCACATATATGATATTGCCTCCATAAATTATGAGGTTGGCCAAAGAGGTAGTCAAATAATTTTTAAGGGAGCTCTAACTGATTATGCTTTACCTTGACCGTGTGTTTCTACATTTCTCCCTGAGTATATCAGATTAGTTGACCCCTATTTCAGCTGATCTCTTTATTCTCTAAGTTATGACACATGAATTCTTCCAAGATATAAGAAAAAATAAAAATGTGAAAGCAAAATACTATAGGCAATTTTTTTTTTTTTTTCCAGTTGTTAAATGACCTTTATTGAAATATTTTCCTTTATGCTTCTTAACTAGCTGGGCATTCCACAGCACCACTGTTGATGTCATCTATGATGTCGTGAGGGTGGCGGCCATCAACATTACAGCCCACAGACTGGGCAGTCCCCAGGATCTCTTTAATGGTTCCAGAGAGTTCTCTGGCTAAAGATCGGTGCCGCATCTGTCGAGCAATGTTGACAATCTCATCGAAAGTGATATTCCCGCTGTGTTTAATGTTTTTCTGTTTCTTTCTGTCTCTTGGTGGTTCCTTAAGGGCTTTGATGATCAGGGCAGAGGCAGAAGGCACCACCTCAATCTGGACCTGTCTGTTCTGAATGGTCAGTTTCACTGTAATCCTCAGGCCCTTCCAGTCACCCGTTGCCTTGGCAATGTCATCACCAACCTTTTTTGGAGACAGACCCAGCGGGCCGATCTTAGGGGCAAGCGCAGAAGTGGCACCGACTTCACCCCCAGTGCACCTCAGGTATACGACTTTGATCTCGTTGGGGTCGAACTTCGGCGGCATGGTGGAGGCGGCTGGTGCTGGATGAACCCGGATTCGGGACGACCGAAGAGTTGCACCTTCGCCTCCTCCGAGCCGAAAGCCGAAAGCACTATAGGCAATTTTTAAACCCATTTCCCCTTTACCCCAAGAATAGTAGTGGGTGGCACATGCAGCTGCAGCATTTACCCCGAGATCATTCGAGGATTATTTGTTGTTGTTGTTCAGATCATTTAGTACCTGTTTTCTGCTTTCTGTTTAACCAGACTGTCCCAACGCATCAGTCCTATTTTGATGTAATTCTCTGAAAACCATTTGAGGGTAAGTTTAGGAATATAATCTGTTATCCCAGGTTAAAAAATACAGCTGCAAGCACCACCAGCTGTGGGTCAAGATGGCCAGGGAAGACCTATGTTAATTCTAGCTAAATAATTGTAAGCTTGCTTGGCTCAGAGTACACTGAAGTTTATACACTGAACTAAACTATATTATTGGTGAAGTTAATTAGAAATCAAGCGGCAACAGGAGGCCTAAGGTAAAGACCATCTGAGAGCACAGTAACACCAGGGAACACCTAGGGGTGGTTGCAGAGCAGGAAATACTGCTCTGGTCCCATAAATGCCTTCTCAACATGGAGACTGTGTGAGGGTCTCCTAAAGAAGGCCTGTGCAAAGATCTCTGAGAAGGGAGGCAACTCTGCTCTCAAGATCTGGGAGGGTCTTTGCAGATGGGAGCTGGCAGGGAGGAGAAAAGCCTTGCAGGGCAGAGATCACGGAACGACTTAGGCTCTGCCTAGGTTCTCGGAATTTGGAGTGATTTTAATTGCTCTATGTCCTCAGTGCTTGGGAGATAAAAGCCCCTGGATGCACTGGATGAGGTCAGACTGGGTGGCTCCTCAACCACTATACTTCTGATGCAGCTGCACCCTGATAACAATTAGTGATAAACTCAGGTTACTAGTTTAGCAGTCTTAGAAGGATCTCAAGTTCTCTCCCGCTCCTCTTACCTACTCCTTCACCCTCCTCTTCCATGCCTATAAGATCAATAAAAGTGTCTGGAGCCCAGAGCTCGGGGCCAATTCGGTTCCCATGCTTGCGCTGGTCCCCTGGCCCCAGGCTGTAAATTCTGTTCTTGTGTCTCTGTCTTTATTTCCTTTTCTCAATCCCTTGTCACTGCTGGGACTAATGGCACCCACTTACAGGGTTGGGGCTGGTACCCAACAGCATCCTAAGCAAACAAAACCAAAAAAAGCCCGAGGCATCACATTACCCAACTTCAAACCATTCTGTAAGAATGCCATTATCCTAAGCAAATTAATGCAGAAACAAATGTTGCATGTTCTCACTTAAAAGTGGGAGCTAAACCTGGCGCACAGGAAGATAAAGATGACAACAATAAATCACTGGGGACTTCAAAAGGAGGGAGGGAGGGAGATAAGGGGGTAGAGGCTGAAAAACTTCCTCCTGGGGACAGTTCACTCTCTGAGTGAGAGGATAAATAGAAGCCTCAGCATCACACGATATACCCTTGTAACAAACATACACGTGTACCCCAGAATCTAAAAATGTAACATGACTCAGCATAACACAGAATAATAATATAATAAAATACCCAAAAAATGATCTTTTGGTTAAAAAAAAATGGTTGGCAACTACCCTGGCCTGCTCCTCAGTAACACCGTGATCTTTTAGGCATCTGACAAGTGTTGCTCTGGGGCAGAAAGGGATCCAGTCTGCTCCAGTACTAGCAATACATTTGGGGGCAATAATGAACTTTCTAACCAGGGTCCCCCCAAAAGCTTTCTCTCCACAAGAAAGGTAGTATTTTTTTCTTTTCAATCGCTAAAGCAAACTATTTAACTAGAAAACTTCATCACAGATGATAGGACTTTATGTTTAACTCAGTTCCAAGTCCTGATGTAATTTGCTCCTAAGATTAAGGTTCCCACCCACCTCCCTCCAATCAGGTTTGAAGCACCCATGAGGCCAGAAGAGTATAAAAACGCAAAAGATGTTGACTTCTGAGTCCCAGATATCCGGTATCAGCTGGTGAAAGGGCGCCACGGAGTTGCTGTCGTCCTTTGGAGTTTGGCAGGCCCAGGATTCCGCCAAGGAGGCGGTGGACCCAGATGCCTCCAGCCCTGAACCCAGTACATTCGGTGTCCTGGATGCTCCCTTCCTGTCCTTACCATTGAGAACCCTCCTGGGAAGGCGTAGAGTTCCACTGCGACCTGCTTTCCGCTCCCAGTGTGCTTCGCTGAAACTGCCGGCAAAAAGAAGTCTTTCCCAAGTCTCAGACCACCTTCAGGTGGGACGTAGGGTCACCTGCTCTGGATCCGCTGGCAACCTGCGAGGAGCCACAGGCACCCTCGGGAGAGAGGGAGGGTGCAGAGGGGCCCAGCTGACGCCCGCCCCCGCAGCATCCCCTGCAACTCCCCACTCGCTCGGTGGACAGACTACTGGAGCCAGAGACGTCCGTCTGAGGAGACCTTTCGGAGTGTCAGCCTACTACTGTTCCCTGAAGCCACCAATAGAAGTTCCAAGACTGCTGGCTCCAGATTTGCTTGCGCTTGGGGACAGACGCCCTAAGACTGTGTCCACCGCCCGCCTTTGGAGTCCTGAGCCCAGAGATTTTTGCTGAGACTTTCCATTGGATCATCCTCCTGTGAAAAAAAAAATAGTTACAGTAACACCCTAGTTATCTCAAATGCGATGGAAGAAGTTTGCTTTGAGATCACTTTGTGCTTTTTTATTTCCCCTTCTCAATAAAATTGTACACAAATGTGAAATTCCTGTTGCCTGTGTTCCTGCTGATGTTGGGTAAGGATGAGGTTCAGGGGCAGGGTGGCTGGTTGCTGGTGCCAGTACTATCACTGGGACCCTTGGTCTCCTAGATTTGCTGGTTGCCAGACAAACGAAAAACACAAAAAGTAGTGTGTCTTATACAGAGACTGAAGGGAAGGGTCGGCCAGGGGTCCTGCAAGGCAGGTGACTTACAGGCTGGGTCTACAGGAAATCCGGTGAACAGGCAGCAGACCTGAGAACTTCCTGCAGAAAATTCTCCTGTTCCAAGGCCCTGGAACTTTTTCCCTGTGAAGCTTTGCACCCTTCTATCTTGAGACCTTGCTAAACTCAGTTGTGAGTTCTGAAAGTTTGCTTTTAGATTCTTTAAGATTTTCTTTCTTTTTTTTTTTTTAAATAAAGATGGGGTTTTACCATGTTGGCCAGACTGGTCTTGAACTCCTGACCTCGGGTGATCTGCCCACCTTGGCCTCCAAAGTGCTTGGATTACAGGCGTGAGCCACCATGTCCGGCCGATTCTTTAAGATTTTCTACATAGACTCATGTTCTGCAAGTATAGATAGTTTCATTTTTTCACCTCCAATGTATATGCATTTTAACTCCTTTTCTCACCTCATTGCACTGGCAAACGATTCCAGTACCTTGTTGAATAGAAATGGTTGGAATGAATATCTTGGCATTTTTCCTGATTTCATGGGGAAAGCACGGAGTCTGTCACTATTACATACAATTTAGCTATAAGTTTTTTTTTTTTTTTTTTTTCGCACATGGAATCTGGTGTTAATTACACTCGGGGGAGAGGTGAGGTCACTCGGTCCAGCGGTGGCCGCAGTGTGGGGCCGTGCACACGTGGTACAGACGCATGGCGTCCTCGGCCCGGGCACTGTGTGACTGGAAGAACACAGCCTCCTTGTGGCCACACTTCTGGCACGGGTGGTCCTCGGTCCGCGGCAACGTGGGGTCCTGGGACACGTCGGCAATAATCTGGGTCAGTTCGTCCACTTCCTGCGTGATCTTGTTGACATAGATGCAGCTGTTGTCGGCCTCCTGCTGGTAATCACAGTTCCGGCACGCGTAGAGCAGAATGCAGTTCTCCTTGTCTTCCTTGGGGTATAGCATGTTGTTACATTCCTGGCAGAAGCGAATACCCACGAAGCCTGGCTCGTAGGTCCCGTCAGGCTCCATGACGACGCGCAGCCCGCCTAACCTTCTGCCTAGCTATAAGTTTTGTAGATGTTCTTTGTTCAGTTGAGGAAATTCCCTCTATTCCCACATTGCTGACAGTTGGCTTTAAATTTTAAATCATGAATGGGTATACATTTTCTTAAATGCTTTTTGTGCGTCATTTGATAGGATTATACAGTGTTTCTCATCTAGCCTATCAATAGGGTGAATTATATTGATTATTAAACCAGCCTTACATGTGGCATAAACCTTACCTTGGCATGGTATTGTTTGTTTGTTCTCTTGTTTTTTGTTTTTTGACACAGATTTTCGCTCTTATTACCCAGGCTGGAGTGCAATGGCGTGATCTTGGCTCACCACAACCTCCACCTCCTCGATTCAAGCAATTCTCCTGCCTCAGCCTCCTGAGTAGCTGGGACTGCAGGCGTGTGCCACCATGCCTAGCTAATTTTTGTATTTTTAGTAGAGATGGGGTTTCACCATGTTGACCAGGATGGTCTCAATCTCTTGACCTGGTGATCCACCCGCCTCAGCCTCCCAAAGTGCTGGGATTATAGGTGTGAGCCACCACGCCCGGCCAGTATTGTTTTTTAGCATACATTTCTGATTTCTATTTGTTAGTATTTTGGTGAGGATTTCTGCATCTATGTTTAGGTACAATATTGGCCAGTTTTCCCTTAGTGTACTGTGTTTGTCAGGAACATCCTGACCTCATAAAATAAGTTGGGAAGTATTCCATATTCTTTTATTTTCTAGAATAAATTGTGTAGAATTCATCTTATTTATTCTTTGAATATTAGGTAAAATTAGTCAGTGAAATCGTACGGACCTCTTGGTTTTTTGGAAGACTTGACCATGTATTCAATGTCTTTAATAATTTTGAAAATTCGCAGATTTTTTTTTTTTGAGACGGAGTTTCACTCTTGTTACCCAGGCTGGAGTGCAATGGCGCGATCTCGGCTCACCGCAACCTCCGCCTCCCGGGTTCAGGCAATTCTCCTGCCTCAGCCTCCTGAGCAGCTGGGATTACAGGCATGCGCCACCATGCCCAGCTGATTTTTTGTATTTTTAGTAGAGACGGGGTTTCACCATGTTGACCAGGATGGTCTCGATCTCTTGACCTTGTGATCCACCCGCCTCGGCCTCCCAAAGTGCTGGGATTACAGGCGTGAGCCACTGCGCCCGGCCACAGATTTTTTTTATATGGGTTGGGTAGACTGTGGATCTTGCAGGATTGATCCATTTTATCTAGTTTGTTACATTTATGCAAATAGAGTTGTTTTCAGACTATTTTTAAAAATTACCCTTGTGGGCCTGGTGGGGTTGCTCATACCTGTAATCCCAGCACTTTGAGAGGCTGAGGTGGGTGGATAACTTGAGGCCCAGAGTTCAAGACGAGCCTGGCCAATATAGCAAAAACCCATCTCTACTAAAAATACAAGAAAATTAGCCAGATGTGGTGGTGCATGCCTGTAATTCTAGCTTCTCAAGAAGCTTAATCACAAGAATCACTGGAACCTGGGAGGTGGAGGTTGCAATGAGCCAAGATCATGCCACTGCACTCCAGCCTGGGTGACAGAGCAAGACCCTGTTCTAAAAAAAAAAAAAAGAAAAGTTACCATTGTGAATACACTGATCAGCATAAAGACACAGCTAGCTAACTTGCCTCTCTAGATCTCTTCAGTCAGCTCTGTGGTACAAGAAGTAACCTAAATGGGCCAGGCGCTGTGGCTCACGCCTGTAATCCTAGCACTTTGGGAGGCCGAGGTGGGTGGATTACCTGAGGTCAGGAGTTCAAGACCAGCCTGGCCATCATAGTGAAACCCCATCTTAAATTAAAAAAAAGAAAAAAAAAAAAAAAAAAAAAGAAGAAGAAGAAGAAGAAGTAACCTAAATGGGCTGCACTGGAGAGCTGCTCTTGCCCCCAGGTTTCTGATTGAGTTTAGGCACTGAAAGACACCAGCTGTTCAGAGAAACTGAGTAGTACTATATTACCTTGCTTTGTTCCCTCTGGGCCTCAGGGTACTGAATTTTTTTTATCTAAAATCAAAAATAGGCTGGCTATGGTGGTTCATGCCTGAAATCACAGCACTTTGGGAGGCCAAGGCAAGAGGATCACTTGAGGCCAAGAGTTCAAAACCAGTTTAGTTAATAGAGTGAGATCCTGTCTCCACAAAAAATTTAAAAGTTAGCCAGGCATGGTTGCTCTTACCTGTGGTCCCAGGGTTTGGGAGGCTGAGGAGGGAAGATTGGGTGAGCCTGGTGGTTGAGGCTGCAGTGAACTATGCTTGTGCCACTGCACTCCATCCTGGGTGACAGTGAGACCTTCTCTTAAAAAAAAAAAAAAAAAAAAAGCCAGAAATACTGGGGAGTGACCTTCTCCTTTCTGGCTTTCTCTAACACCACTCACTTTCTTGCCCCTACTGAGATAGAAATAGTAATGCTTTCCCTGGTGCCAGGTCAGGCTACCTACCTTTTGTTTCCTTTAACCTGTTTATACATGCGAATTGTAAGTAGTCAGTTACTATATTAAACTCTTCTCAGCTAGCCCTTTAGCGTGTGCATGTTTTATGCAGCAATGTTAATGATATAGGTTCCACAGGAAAGTATAAAATTACTCCAAAATACTTAGGAAAGCAAAATATTTCATTCTGGAGCATTTCAGAGTTTGGACAAAGAAAGATGATACACCAGAGCAAACAGATTGGGTGTCTGCCAAAGCAAATGAAAAGGATAGTGACATAATACGGACGCTGAAGAAATACGTCTGCTCTACACAGCGCTAATGAGAGGTTGAGGATTGTGTGAATAGGAAAATGAAATAGATAACATTTAAAACAAAATAAAGTAAATGCATAACTAAACTTCTAAAATGCCAATAGAAAACAATACAAAAAGAACACATTACTCCACAGCAAAATGCACCGTCTCCTGAGAGAATGAAAGTCAAGGAACACGAAGCTGAGACACTCTTAAAATTAGTTAAAAATACTTTTTAAAAATAAAATCTAATTTTAGGCAGGGTGCCGTGTCTCACACTTGTAATCCCAGCGCTTTGGGAGGCTGAGGCGGGCGGATCACCTGAGGTCAGGAGTTCGAGACCAGTCTGGCCAACATGGTGAAACCCTGTCTCTACTAAAAATACAAAAAACTTAGCCGGGCGTGATGGCGCGAGCCTGTTGTCCCAGCTACTCTGGAGGCTGAGGCAGGGGAATTGCTTGAACCAAGGCGGTGGCGGTTGCAGTGAGCGGAAATCTCACCACTGCACTCCAGCCTGGGCGACAGAGCGAGACTCCGTCAGAAAGAAAGAAAAAGGAAAAAAAGAAAATGAGGCCGGGCGTGGTGGCTTACGCCTGTAATCCAAGCACTTTGGAGGCCAAGGCGGGCGGATCACCTGAGATCGGGAGTTCAAGACCAGCCTGACCAACATGGTGAAAC